ACACAGTCCCTAGTCCTTTCAGCCGGCTGGGGATCATTCGTTTGGTTCTGGTGCCGCCTGAATTCTCGATCAACCTCGGAACCTTGTCACTTGGCCTGACGAAACTTTTGTGTCAAAAGCTAAACTTTTGCCCAGCGATAAATCTACCGATTTTCACCAAACGCCTTCGAAAACAATGACTACGCAATGCGTTTCAATTATTTTCTACGCGATTGAATGTCTGAAATATTTTGATGTCATGAAACTCGTGAATGGGCGCTGCAAAGCTGAACCAAATCAGAGGAGAACGTTGGAGCACATGACCACATTTGTCTTTGTGCTTACTTTGTACGATTGAGCGTTTTTTGTAGTTTGTGCGTATTCAAACAAAATGTTTATGCAGTTGACGAAATAGGTGGTTATAATTTAAGCCATGAAAGGTACAAAAGACCACAGGTCTGAGCTTGAAAATCTTCCTACCCTTTCTTCCTCATGTAATAGTTGGGCCAGCGGTAAATAATCTGTAGGCCAAAATTTGTTTGTTCTCGGAAGAGATGATCCTCTAAGGAAAAAGGTTAAGCATCCTGAAGCACTATTCAAAGGACATGAAGCCAGCAACCATTTTCATAGCAGCTCACTAGACACGCTCTAGTTTGCATTCTGGCCGGACAACTTGTTTGGATTAGTTAAGAAGCGGCCTGATGTAAGCTTCACAGAGTACCTAAATTCCGTGTGCTTATTAAGGGGTAAGGGGCACCGAATCATCCGCAGGACGAAAAATTCCTTTTGAGCCAACTGTCATTGGTGGGCCGAGAAGGGTATGCTTTGCGAGAGCCTTATACCCAAATACATTCTGCTATCTTCGTTCTATTTTCTTCTGATCCATTCTGACTATGCACAATAAAGGCATTCTCTGAGTCTCCTCCGAGAGGAGTAAAGACGCACTGCTCGCCATCCAGATGAGGGTACCAGTTAAGTAACCCCTGTTTTGCAATGTCTACATCCATTTAGAAGCTAGAGGCGTCAGAATCCGATTTCAATTCGTCTGCAAGGGACAGACCTGGACCCAATCCAACGGCGATAAGCAACATTCCGCCGTTAAAAGTCTAGTTTTGCTTGGCTCATTTCAAAAGTGCTTGAATCCAATCTTCGAGTGAGTGTAACCTATGGCGCATAGATTCTGATGCAGCTGGCTTCTAATTTAAAGGTTTCACAGATAAGCCTAGAAGCAGTTAGTTGTATCGGGCGGTGTTGGTTTTCTTAAAAGGAGTCAGTCGAACAGTAACCGCCATTTTTAAGTTTTGCGATACTGTTTCGCGTTATTAGACCAGGGAATGGTATCTGGATGAGTTGGGATGCTGAAAAAATGATAGTTATTAAAGATCTACCCATTCTTATCGGTGAAATTATTAATATACACGTGGGTTTCCTGTCCATCTGTGCACCGCATTTCGAGGCTCACTTTTGTACCAACTGAGGGCTCATTGTTTTGCCCAGGGGGTGGGTTGCGAAACTTTCAGATTGTTAGAAGTTTGAATCCTTCCAAATCAATAAGACTTGGTTAGTTTGCCTTGTCTCTGTATGTGCCCGCATGCGCATATTATGCAGAACCAGAGAATACTGAAAATCTACAATGATATGACTGATTTATTCGCCGCTATGCACTGTTTTCCGTACGATGTTCGGCTGGCTTAGCGTCATTAGATTGATTACTAACCAAAAGAATCGCTACTTACGGTGTTTTCGTCAGTCGTATTCAACGACATGAGATCATCTTATGGTGTGGCGATAATTGGTGGAATTCAAACCAACTGCAAACCGATAAGTTTTGCGCATTTTCTCCTGGAGTAAGGCGAACGTAAAGTTCATGGATATAAACTATCATCAGTGAGCTTTAAAGAGACCAGTATGTGGCGCAAAACTAAGTATGCTTGCCTCACTGGCCCGGACAAACTCGTTGCATCATGTACATGACCCATTAGTAGATAAATGCTCTTCGGCTCCCACAAGTCCATTCTAAAGACCTACGTTGAGGGTGTGACTTAATGGGGGGCGTAAACCAAGCGACGAAGCCACAGCTGGGAAAGTTACAGCTCTCTATCCAGGACATTTAATTCGAACATACAAGAATTTTAATGCCACTTAAATGCGCACCCTTACTTGTATAGATATGAACTTGCACAGAAATTTCACCAAAAATAACTGATGGACGTATCAAACTAATAGAATCGCAGAAGGGAACGGGTGTTTGTTGGGAGTGAAGAGTTTGGAGAAGCATGAGTTGGTAAAATGGCTCCCGCGAAAGTTTAGGGAGTGTGCTTTTAATGCAAGTGAACTTTTATTAAATTTGCAAGGTTTTGCACAGTTCGTGTTCGATGGAACAGTGGCCATGAATGGTCAGATTCTGTGGTTCCGATAGCTAAAATCTCAACAACCGGATGATTCGGTTACGAACAGGGTAAGTTAATGCTGATTGATTTTTGTCCCCTTTATTTCAAATGGAAAATCCGCGTGACGACTCCATTGACCTGTATTGGTGAACCTTATACAGCTGACGAACTGTACCTAGTTCTAAAATACGTTTGGCCTAACAGGATTTTTTGGTTGGCGTATTTGACGATTTTGAATGTTCGAATTCAGTTGGTTGTTTTTGTTATGATAACGCATATTGGTTTCAAATTTACCGTGTGGGCGACCTTCCAGCCCTTTCGACTTTAGTGCATTAAATAAAACGGTCTCGTTGCATTTGGTTACTTCTTTAACATCCTGGTATTGCTCGCAAATTTTTCTGATCGATATGAAGCGTTGATCAGTCTGTACTAGGAGCTTTTGTTGTAGATCTGGAAGATTAATTCCGGCAATGAGGCGATCACTCAGTTGGCTTTCAAGTTGTTGGCCGTAGTCACATTTTGCAGCCTGTGTTTGCAGTTGGAGGAAAAAATCACGAATACTCTGAGATTCGGATCGAATAAGCGAATTGAATTTCGCTCGTTCTGCGGCCACAAAATTGATAGGCTTAAAATGACTGAGAATTAACTTTTTTAGAGCATCGTATGTGCAATCGATCGGCGCCGTAGGGAATGATAAATTCTTCAC